AATAGAGAAACAAAGCCAACAGTGGCAGAACAGGGGTAAAAATAGTTATTGGGAACTGTCTGTCCTACCCTTCGAACTGAAATGGGGAGGGGGAGTACAATGAAGAAAGAATCTTCTATAAGATGGCTCTCCTGCCATGATTATTCTTAGTTCCCCAGAGACATGGACGAAAGTATATTATTCAACATTAAGAGCAAATAAAAGACACCTCGGTCCTGGATTCTTTCACTGAATCTCCTTTATTTCCTTCTCTCTTCATTTGGTCCTATACTTATTTTATTTTCTCCCTTCATTTCTCCTTATTCTTTCAGGCTTCTCTTTTTGCTTTCTGCAACCACGCATCATTATCATATGCCCTTTTTCTCTGCACTTAAGAGGCTCCAAAATAAGAAAAGGAATTAAAATACATGCACAAAAATAGCACAGGTTCTTTATGTGTTTCAAATGCTCTTATGCTGAAGAAGGGACAACATATAATCTCTATTACTTTGCACCAATCTTGTTTATACAGCATTGTTAGAATACAGGCCACAGCATAAATATTTTTGAACTTCCTCCCTCTCCCTTTTTCTCTTCTCCTGAAAAAGGTAGTTAGCAATTTGTCAATTCAAATATGTGCTAGCTATGCGGGATGCTAATTATCTAGGCTACTACTTCTTATTTATTCCAGTATAAGGACTCCTCTAAAACAACAAAATAAAAAATGTCAAAAATACACACACAACTAGAAATGATCCTTTTAGTATCTGTTCTCTGAGAAAATGCAAACCTAGCAGGCACTGATATTTTACTTTTGACTGCTTGTGAACTTTATTAATGACTACACATCCATTTACATTTAACAGCAACGTGGGCAATGCTTAGTGTGAATGTGGATTCTCAGCTTCCCAAACTGCTCAGCCCTCCCTGGAGTCAGCCCAAATGGATTGGAAATCATGGCTCTGAGCACTCTGGGCTCAGCTCTTCTTTTGATTAAGAGTTGTCGAATTTTGTTCATGAGTTCACTGGAGTAGCAATACAGTTTGACAACAAGTTTAGTACAGCAAAGCACTTTCTGTTCACTCAGGATCTTTCTAGCATGATTTGTCTGAGTCTTTCCAACAGCCAGTATTTATGTGTTCTCTCTCCTCATCACTTAGAACTATTATCTAAAAATGTTTAATAAATGATCGTCACCTTTTTTCTAGCTATTATTGTTAATACTGCTTCTCTTACTACTTTTCCTCACCTACTCTACCCCATAAATTTCCAAATCCCAATAGTGTTCTAGCTTGGAAATGCAAGAAGAAACAAAAACTTAAAAATCTAGTTTTTTATCAAATAAATATACACACCTTATTTTTTATTTTTTTACATTTACATGGAGTAGATGAGGAAGTAAAACTGTGCGTGGCTCTGTCCCTACCATATTTAAGATGAATATATTCCTTCATTCGACAGGCACTCGATCAAAAAGAAAATACTCGTAGTAAGAGTTACGCCTAAAATCTGTAAGATGGGTATTCTCTTGCAACAGATTTATCTTCCTTTTAACTGGCAACAGCATACGAATCAGGCACCATTCTTTTTTATTCATTCATTAACGTTCTCTGTCCTTAATTTTTAAAATGAGTAAAAGTTAACATTTTTCTCTTTCTCCAAAGTATTAAGAAAAAAACAAAACAACTATAACTTTTTGTCACTCCATTGGTTTCTGTCCTATGAGTCAGCCATTATGAACAGAGGAACTCTATGCCTCCCCTATAAAATGACATTCGATGGACCGCCACTATTCTTCTTTTTTCCTCCTCTTTTAATTCCCCCTCCACACATACTTCCACCCCTGACCTATGGATGTTGTCATTTCCCCTTAAGAACTGGATCTCTAAAGGTGGGGCGTCTCCTCCCACACGCTCATGGCGTGCGCCCAGGGCCTGGAGTCCACCCCACCCCAGGTATGGTCCGTGGCTCCACCTGGGGATTGAATCCAGGACCTTCTGCGTGTAAAGCAGACGTGCTAACCACTACACTATGGAGCCACCCCCACTATTCTGTTAAAGATAAAAATATAATTTTAAATTTCAAGGTGGTACTGAGATGTTAAAATAATATTTTCTAATTAAGGCCTCCAAAAACATTCAAAATTCCATTATGATATCACCTCAAATCCGATTTGTATTTTTCAATAAAGATCCTGAAAGGTCTACAAAAATAAATTTTTTGTTTTGCTTTTCCCGTTTTACAAAATTGTCTGAAAAAAACTAATTCAATCAACACTAGTTGTTAGAAAACTAGCAGTTCCCATTAAGCGGGTTAAGAATATGAGATGGAAAAATTATTAGGAACTTCACATTACTATTATTGAAAATGTTATTTCTCTACTCGGTTCCATGAAATATCAAAATATTATTCTATACTGCAGACAGTGAGCAAAATCAATTGTGGCAAATAATAACTTGGTTTCTTAAAAACAAGTAGTTTCTCCCCTCTATAAAGAAAGAAGACTGGGTTTCTTCATCCTTCCTCCCAATATAATATATTCATGGGAACACTGACCATTTATAAATTCCAAATATCTTTGAGACTTAGCCCATCCTTCAAACAACTAACTTAAAAAAATAAATAAATAAAGACTTTTAAAATTTAGGTAATAGGTGAACAAAGAATTGAAGAATGTGATGGTAATGCTACATGATATTATAAGCTATTAAGTTCCTGGGCAAGTCTACGGCCATGCCACCCTGAACAAGCCCAATCTCGTCTGATCTCGGAAGCTAAGCAGGGTAGGGCCTGGTTATTACTTGGAAGTACTAGGAAGACCAGGTGCTGTAGGTGTAAAAAATAAAAAATAAGGAATTGTAAGCTGACAAGGTTCTTGCAATCTGTGAGGTCAACCAAGGGTTGCCTCACCTTAAAGAAGAAAAATTTAAAAAGTGCCTGGGCAAGATATAATGGTACTAGGCCATAATTTTCTTAACTTTGGATTCTTGTTTTTCACGTTCTTCCAAACAAATTACAAAAGGCAAATGATTTGACTACTCATTATTGTACGGCTTTAAAAAAAAAAAAAAAGAAAAAAGAAAAAAGAAGTAACTTCTATTTTTAATATATTTACATTAATGAAACAATGTCTATATTTGCAGAGTGTTGGCTGACCCATAAACTACATTTAACACCCACTAAGTCAGCATATCACAACTGCCAAATATTATGTGTAAGCGCCAACCCTCCCCCCACCCCCAACAAACAAAGCAAGCAAGCTCTGGTAAAACTGTTTATAAAGTTGTCGTAAGCATGGAAGATGATACCTAAACTTTAAAATCACGGTCACATACATCCTCCCTTTACATCCAATTTAAGCACAGGAGCTTAGGAAATTAAGTAATTAAAATATTTTAGAGTTTTTCCTTATAAGAATATATTTTAATCATAAAAAAACCTTCACCCATTCCTAATTCATTTCTCATTAACACTCATTCATTCTGTTCAACCCTCAATTTATCAATATAGAATTCATGCTATTCAAAAAAGAAAACCAACATAATTACGGCTGTCATCTCATTAAGAATGCTCTTCCCAGTAACAGAACTCTGACATTACAGTTGGCACCCACACCATTCCCTATTTGCACCACCATGCTCTCCCCTTCCCATCACCACCATTTTACTGGCAGAACATTCACAAGACTGAAGGTCTGTTTCTTCATCTCAGGAAACAGAATACTTAAAAACGGATGGCTAGCCACAAACCAGAAGTTAGACGCTACATAAAAATAAACACAAATGTACCTAAATTGTTCTATTTTCAGTCTCTAAAGAAAGCAGTAACATCTTCCATATCTCTTAATGCCCAGAATTATAGCCAGGAGCCTTTCACCTAATTATACTAATAAATTGATTTAATGTCATCATTTTGCCATCAGAGCATGTCCTCCATACACTAGTGTGTTTTAATTAAATCTTCTTTACCATGGTAGGTTCTTCACATATTTTTTCCAGTGTTTTTCCTATTTAATCCCTAACTACCAAATTATTTCTCTATGTTTTCCTAAATATTAAACCTATGAACAAAAAGATAACCCTGAAAACTAACCACAGAAGAGATAAATCAATACACCTTAAATACAAAATATCAACATCAGGTATAAACTATTAGGTAATCAAGAGAAAGGTAAGCATCAACTGTATGCCCCCAAATCCCAATTTAAAACATTATGTAGTATACAGAATTTTGGAAAATGGAAATGAACACAGTATTTACATAGCAAAACAGACAACTATAGCCTCATTTCTGACTTGAGATTTTAAAAAATCTTAATTCTATTCATTAAGTAAAACAGCCATTTTAAGGAAATACCTCCTTACAGGTATAATCATTTGATTGACAGATAAAATAATTGCTTTAAAAATACTTGAGTCATTTTGTCCTTACCTGCAGGCACGAACCATTACTGCATGCAGTGACTGTTCCATTTCCTAGCACAGACTTGAAGAAGCATATCTCTCTTTCAGAATGTGACTAATCTGTGGGTTTGCAATTTCTAAGCTATTTACAAATGGCACTCCCTTTCCACATAAGAAAATACTTATTACAACCAAAAGTCAAGAATTTTTAACCTAGATCTTACAAATAATGTTGGTAATTATGTGTAGCGACATCATCAAAATACAGGAAGAAAATGTAATACTAGAATTTCCTTAAAGAAAGTAAGATTATTTGTTTATTTTTTTAGCTAAGCAAATTATTTTTTAAAGCCTTCAACAGCTGTCACACATGAACCAGCAGTCTGCTGTGTTATGGTGTGCATGCTGCAGCTGATTAGGCTTCACTATTTTTTTAAAAATCAATTACCCTTTGTAAAAGCAGAACAGCTTGCCCATATACACATCTTCAATACAGCACAATGACCAGCATGCAGTACAATACATTATATAGCAAACTTGACAAGAAAAAAACATGTCCTGGTTTGTTTCTTAGCAATGCTACACCATTAATTGTTCATGCAAGAGATGTAGCTGTACCTTTCTGATGAGGACGACTTCTCAGAGTTAACTGACATCAGCAGCTCAATCTTCTGCTTGATTTCTGGAAAAATCAGAAAATATTCACAACCAAGATTGCCTGCCCTTGCTTTCAAGCCTTATATCAAGAGATTTTTCTTCTCTAATCCCTTTTGTTCAAAATGAGGCCACAAGATTCGCAGTACTTCTGTTAGGACTGGGATTCAATGGTGCTATAAAGGGAAAAAGCTCCAGAGGCATCAGGCCTTGCTAAACTATGCACATGACTGTTTATGAAAGCAGGAAGTACCATTTCTTTTAAGCAGAGGGGTGTTTTCTTTTTTAAGGTAGAACCAGTCTGGCCCTACTAGAAGATATTAAAAGCAGCAAATTAAAATGCAAACGAGAAATGCTAACGACTGAATTCAACATACTAGATAATCTGAGAAGCCTGGGTAATAAAGTTACAGGCTGTAATAAACAGATATGCAACCCCTGGCTACTTCTATTTCACCAGCCCTGAAAAATATGGCTCAGTGAATCATTTTTATCACTTAAGAATGAAACATTAAACCAGAACCCCAATTTATAGATTAAAATTGTTTAACCTTTGTTATAATTTCTTGGTTGTTTTTAACTAAAAATAGAATTAATCTCTACTCCCTAGCTCCTTTAGAGAAAGACTTGTATTTTACACCTTAATTTCCCCCTCCTCTTTCACAGTACAGCACAAGTGAACAGCAACACCCAGTTACCTAGCAGATAATCTACTTCTCCTTTTAGGAAAGGACTGACAATGCCATCTAAAACAGAAATAAAAGCGCCAATTTAATTTATTTAAAAGATAATTGCCTGATACTGACTTGGAAAAAAAGATAATAGACTAAAAGGGAAGGAAAGGTAAAAATAAAAGGGAGGTAGAAAAGAGAAAGAAAAAAATCCATTTCCATTAAAATACTAATGATTAACCAAAAGCACATAATTTTACATGAATAAAACTGACATGGTCTTATTACTCAGACTATTTCACATGTAAAACTGTTTTCCTTTTCATAAAGGGGTTTTCCTATTTGTAATTAAAAGTTCACATACCAAAAATAAAACACAATGCCACTGAAATGCTATAGGCAGTCTCAGGATTTCGAAGTAGACTTCAATAGTTTGGGGATTTGTTGTTATTGTTGTTGTTGTTTTTTAAGGGTATAACAAAGCCTAATTTTTACAAATCTTGACTACAGAAACCAAAAGAATATGAGAAGATGTAAAGGGAAAAGGAATAAAAATTGGTTACATAAAATACAATGGACCTCTACAGGAATATCTTCTTTATATTGTTAAAATAAAGATTTTTCCAAATTGCTTAAATTTACAATTCTTCCAACGGGCATGACCGGCATGGCATGAATATCTAATGAGAGAACAGAATCTACCACAGATTATAGCCAAACTACCTAACCACTGGGGAGAGCACCCTGCAATGTGGTTAAATTGAGATGATGATAATGAAACTTACCTTGAGGATTTTTACATGGATTACAGAGCCTGGCACCTGGTGCCATAGTGAATGCTCAGTAACATCCCTCCCACCAGGTTAAAAAGAGCCCAGTGTTTAAGAGCTCGGGCTCTGCTGCCAAGTAACTTTGGATTTGAAAGCTGGCTTCTCCAACATTTTTAATAGCTACATGACCTTGAGGAAATTACTTAAACTCTCTAAGCCTCTATCTCCTCTCCTATAAAATGGGGATAATAATTCTTAGATGAGGGGCTGTTGTGAGGACTTAATGAAATAATCCATGAAAGTCATGTAGTGTCATGCATGGCACATAAACCCTCTCTGCCTAGCAAAGGAAAGTGATCCTAAATAACTATTTGTTGAATTAATTAATGAGGTGTACTACGTTTGTCCCATCTTAAAAGTTTTTCCACAGTTTTAATCCATCTTGTCCCTCTTACTACTAACCTCAACATCCACCTGTTTATCATTAGTGTTATTATATATGGAAATTTAACTTTAATCTGTATCTTAGTCTCCCTATCTAGAGAATATTCCCAGTCAATCAACTAACCACTTCAGAAATGAGGTTACACTTTAATCCATCTTCACCGTGGCGATTTTTCATTCCAAAAAGAAAAAAGTTCACACTTGAGTGTATCTATATAAAATCTGTACACTTAAGCTGAAAGACCCCAAGATGAAACTACACAGATCTAACGAAGTTTATACCCTTCCAATCTTATAAACATTGGAAAGAAAAGTTTATACCCTTCCAATCTTATAAACATTGGAAAGAAAAATTAAAACTCTAACCCATTTTCTGGCTGGTAACTTTAGGAGCTCCAAACCAAATGGTTTTAAATAATACATGAAAAGGTTTCCAACATCATTTTTACATTTTCTTCAAATCTTCAGATTTGTTTATAGCTTCAGAAAAACTGAAAAGTTCAGGAATGTTTGCAAACACTACGTTAACACTGTACCCTTTGAGGCGCATATATTCCATCTATGCTACTATCTTATCAGTACTTTATCAATACCATCCATGGGTCTGATTACCCCTTACAGTCATTAAGAACTCCAGAAGCCTCGTCGGTTTCATTCCACCACAAGAACTGCCACAATCCTGGGGGGCTTTGGTGTTCATATTGATATGACCTCCAAAAATCTTGGCCAGGGACTGTGGCCTCCTCAAGTCTCCTCACTGTCTCCTGAACCTCTGAAAACCTCTGATCACTCAAATCATCTACTCTCATGACCACACTTAGGACGTTCTCTTACATGCGCTACAAATATTTCCCCAAAAATCAGCTGATTGGTTTTCTATTTTACTCACAGTATCTAGGACCCTATACTTTATTTTTTTACAATTAAGTCCACTAATCTTTTCCTTTATGAATTATGGCCTCCTGTTAAACCTGGACTTTCCCAACACTAAAAATTTTTAAATCATCATCCTATTTTTCTCTAATACACTTTATAATTTTATTTTGCACGTAAATCTTAAACTCTCCTAGAATTTATTTTGCTCTATGAATTGATAAAGTGTGCCACTATGTTTTTATAGTTCGCATTTTAAAGCCTTATACCCACCCCGACTCCACAACTCTATAAATTACTCTCTTTTCCACCACTCCTTGGTTTTTCCAAAGCAGCAGAATTTACAACCTTGTAAATACATATTTATTTAACCATTTACTGTCTCCATTTATGCATTCAGGCCAATGAGGGCAAAAAGGCCGCACCTCTTTATTTCACAAAGAAAATAATCCAGTGATACCTATGTGGTTTGAATAAGCATATTTAAAAATTATAGTTCACTTGATGTTTTAGTCATTGTTTTAATTGCTAAATAACATTATACAATAACATAAGTTTTGCTGGGGTTTTTTTTTTTAATGCTTTTGTATTTTTATTATTCTTCTAAATGTGGGTTCTTTGCTGGATCATCTTTTTTTCACCCAGACCTTCAAATGTTGGTGATACTCACATGACCCTCTTTTCCCTCACTGACTCTTTTATCTGTATCCTTCCTTATTCCACGTTCCCTGGTGATCTAGTGGTCAGGATTTAGCGCTCTCTTTTATCTGTACCCTTGACATTCACAACCATAAGGGCACTGATGACGACCAAATCTGAATTTCTAGCTCAATATGCTCCTCCACAACCCAGAAATGTCCTTCAATCCCTACTAGACATTGTCACCTAAATGCCTTGAATGCAATATGTAAAACTAACTCCATCAACTTTTCAATCTAATGTCTCCTTTTATGGTCTTTGTCTTAGTGAAGAGCAGCATCACTAACCCCCAAACCCCCAGTCAGAAATTTTTCAGGGATCCCAGACTAGTATCCCTGTTCCTTTTGGGACATCATTACCACCCTTCTCCTTTTTATTATATGTTTTATGCTCTGGAAATGCTGAGATCTACTCTACGATTCCCCAAACACACCATGCTTTCTCACACCAAGTCTTTTCTTACACAGTTTGCTCTGCCTGGAATACCACTGCGCAGTTCGTTTCCCTTGCACACGCAACTCACTTTTCTAATCTCAGCCCAATCATTACCTATTCTCTGACATCTTCCCGGACAGAATACAGGTCACCTCATCTGCCCCTCCATGTATCACATACACTTGCATTACTTGTTTGATTCCCCACTGAGACCAAAGCTTCCTTAAGGACAGGGAATTGCATTTTCACTTCAATTCACACATGTCTGTTGATACTTTCATGGTCACTGTAGCCTATTCTAGTCCAGTTAATGTTAATGGTGCAATCTAGCTAAGTTTGTTTCCTTAAATATGCATTGCCAGATACAATTAATCAGAGATTCAAACAAAGTAGAGCAAGAAGGATACTCAGATGCCATCGCCTAGCTGAATCCACAAATTTATAAAGAAATTGGAAGGGAAAAAAGATTAGCTAGAGGCAATAACATTACCCTCTCAAAAGGTTACTGTCTCTGAGACCAACAGTTAAATTTCCAAGGACTTAGCAATGCAAGTAGAATAGTTCAGTCTTTTTTAAAATCGGCTTCATAAATGCTATTTTCTCATATCTCCAATCCATTAGAATCATCACTATTAGTTGGCTTTCTTAATTAAAATAACTGGTTGGCCTGTGACATCATACTTTTCTTATTCATCACCTTACATAGCAAAAAAAGAAAAACCAATGCACTGGGAATTCTCCTACAGACCTTCACAATACCCCTTTATTCTCATTATACTAACACTTTACAAGATACTCAAATTATTTGTAAAGAGGAGAAATTTAACTCTTCAGCAATGGACTACTTTCTCTAATATTTCACTTTCTACTCAGTCACATGAGGCTGAAGACTCCCGGAACACTTACGGCCATGAGTCCCGAGCTGCGCCAATCCCTAAGAACCCTGACCAGGAATAGCAGTTAGCAGTAACTAATATAATACTAAGTCCGGTAAAGATGGTGCTTCCAAGACATCCTGGAAGAGAAACTGGGCAGTCCTGAATCCACCTGGAATTCTAAGAGTAATAGCAGCCTAAAACTAACATAGGGATGCCATAGAGGTGATATGCCCCTGTGTCCTTTAGATCACTAAGCACCAAGCACAAACTCAGATAAGATTTTTATTTTATGGCATGGAAATTAAGTAACACAATAATTGGGCAGATAATTCTACCTAAATTCTCAGACCTACATCCTTTTTCCACAAGTTTATTCCAAGAGATTTACTAAACTACCTTTCATTTGCCAAATTCATTACAT